CGATCCCTTCTCTCGACTCCTCGACTCCTCGACTCCTCGACACCTCGACTCCTCGACTCCTCGACTCCTCGATTGCTCGATCCTCGATCCCTTCTCTCGGGCGGCGCGGCTCCGGCGGGCGCTCCCGCGCGCGCTCCCGCGGCCGCGGGGAGGCCCGGCGCATCAGGCGGCGGCGTGGCGCCCGCGCGGGCGCACGGCGCCCGCGGCGGGCCCGCCGGCGCCCCGCGCCACAGGTCGCGGGGGAGGGGGGCGGCATGCCTGGCGTGGCGGCGCCCACGAGGGGGGCGTGGCGCGAGGGGGGCGGAGGGGCGTCGCGAATGTGCGGGCGGGGGGGCCCTCTCGGCGGGCCCTGGGAGCTTCTCGAGGAGGCTGCCCGAAGAGGCCGGGCGGGCTTCCGAGACGCCCCGCTGCCCTCTTCGGAAGTCCGCCCCTGCGCCTCAGAGGCCCAACGCCCTCGCGCCACCCCCCCCCCCCTGGGGGCGTCGCCGATTTTCGTGTCCAGCGCCACGCCGATGGGTGCTCCGCAGGACGGAGACCTTCTGGTCGGCGAAGGAAGGTTGCGCTCCCCTGCAATCTTCGCCTGCGCCGGCCCGCGCGGAAGCGGCGCGACTCTCCCGCCAGCTTCCTGCACGCTGCCAGGGTGCCCGTCGGTAAGCACCCGTCTCGGTGGCGCGGATGTGGAGGCCTCCCAATGTGGGCGAGCAAGTAAAAAGAAAAAAGAAAAATAAAAGTTACGTATCAGAAGCGATACGAAGTTCATCGACCAATAACACCGGAAGACCATATGTAGGCATAGGGAAATTTAGCATTGGAGGAACGAGATCAGAGACCCTGGTCGCACTTCCCTTATACTACACTGAAAAAACACAGCTGTTTCACATTGACGCTCCCGGAAACAAAAAAAACAAAAAAATAAGTACACACCCCACAAAATCAGAAAAATAGGTTACGAAAAGAAAAAAAAAAAAAGCAGAGATGGCAAATGCTGTTGCCGCTTCGGCCTAAGCCACGACGAAAAACAAGGCAACGACATATGTACATGTACGCCCTCCGCGGTCTTGCCTGCACGAACGTCCGCGTCGACACGCACTCCAGGGGAAACTAACCGCGTACGTGTACATATGTTGCTGGCCTCTGACAATGGGCTGGGGCAAATGGGGTCGGAGGCTCGCGCCGCGCCGCGGATGCAGCGGTGACGGCGGGATGGAGAACAACGGGATCCAGATCCAGATCGCGCCGCACCGCCGTCGCAGCCTCCTCGCCGATGCATCGGTGACGGCGGGGTGGAGAAGAGCACGTCCCAGATCGCATAGCATCGT